TGGGAGGACTAGTGCCCCATCATTGGTATCAGTGGGAGGAATAGTGCCCCATCATTGGTGTCAGTGGGAGGACTAGTGCCCCATCATTGGTGTCAGTGGGAGGACTAGTGCCCCATCATTGGTGTCAGTGGGAGGAATAGTGCCCCATCATTGGTGTCAGTGGGAGGAGTAGTGCCCCATCATTGGTATCAGTGGGAGGAATAGTGTCCCATCATTGGTATCAGTGGGAGGAATAGTGTCCCATCATTGGTATCAGTGGGAGGAATAGTGTCCCATCATTGGTATCAGTGGGAGGAATAGTGCCCCATCATTGGTGTCAGTGGGAGGAGTAGTGCCCCATCATTGGTATAAGTGGGAGGAATAGTGCCTCATCGTTGGCATTAGTGTGAGGAATTGTGCCCCATCGTTGGTGTCAGTGGGATGAATAGTGCCCCATCATTGGTGTCAGTGGGAGGAATAGTGCCTCATAATTGGTATCAGAGGAAAGAATAGTGCCCCATCCTTGGTATTAGTTGGAGTAACAGTACCTAAATGTTTATATCAGTTGGAGGAATTTTGCTCCATCATTGGTGTCAGTGTAAGGAAAAATGCCCCATAGTTGGTGCCAGTGGAAGAAATGGTACCATCTTGCTGGTGTCAGTGGGAGGAATAGTACCCTGAGGGTCGGATAGAGGCAATAAAAGGGCTGCAGTTTGGAGACCACTGGCCTAGGCAATCGCAGCAGACGTGGGAGTGGGTACCTGTCAGTATCGGGTACTCACTCCTCCCCCGCTCCTCAAAGGTGCCAATCCTTAACAGGGAGCGGGGGACCAGTCCTTAATGTGTAACTTCCCCTTTTGGGTGCATCTCCGCTTTAAATTCTCTGCAAGGGCACAAAATAACAACTGTTCTCTGTGTACCCTATTCACATCACAATGCTAATGTTCCGTAAGTTTTTATTCAGCAGAGAAAACTGCATACGTGTTGCAGATTCCTTCACATAAAAAAATCCGCACACGATTGCAGTGTTATGAACAGGGCACATAGAGAACAAGTGTTTTGATTGTGTCCTTGCAGAAACAGGTGCAGAAAAACACACATCTCTGCACATGGTGTGAATGAGGCCTCAAGGACGTGCAGGACCCCTTCAGCAGGCATCTTTAAAACCCAACTCCAAAATGAAAACGTATTCCTTGCAGTGGGGCTGCCTCCGCGTTGCAAGGTTAAGTGTTCATTTAGGCCTGGTTCACACCAATGCGTTTTTTTTTTGATGCTTTTTGCAGAAAATAGGTTGTCTATGCGACACTGCTTTTTTCAGTTGCTGCGGTTTTTGGTCAGGGACATTTTTAAATGCAAAACAGTGGATTTTTGATTCAATCGACTTATCTGGAGATGCGGCAGAAAAGCACTGCATTTGCATTTTGCATTTTTTAACCCAACAACAAAATGGGCAAAACGAAAAAAAAAAAAAAGCATCAAAAAACTTGTGAAAAATGTGTGTGCAAAAAGCACTGCAGAAATGGATCACAAGCAGACTGCATAGGTGTGAACCAAGGCTTAAGTCTAGGGGGCCACAAAATGAAGTTTCATTTACCTGATGCCCCTGGAAGCTGGGTCCCTCCTCTACTCCTACTCCCCTTGCGTTCTCGCAGTGGATTGTCCCTTTCATCTTCACGCTTACTGCCCATTCACTGCATTGTACTTGATGACGTCAGAGGAGCAGCAACATCCAGTGCATAGAGGAGAAGACGCTGCGTAAAGAGAGTCTGCGGGAGCGGAGGATCAGGTAAGTAAAATAGCCTTTTTGGTGCGCTAGCCCTAAATTAGCATTGAATCTTTGTAGTACGAGGCCAGCCCCATTGCATAGGAGGATTTTCACTTTCTCTGGAGTTCAGCCTTAAAATGCCACTGAAACATTATGCTCTTACACTTGATTTATTATGTTATGTTTGTGTTCCCCGAGTCTCACTTACAAAGTTCTTCTAGTGTGACCTGCTTATCATAACATACCTGAAAAAGGGGTCCCGGGTGACCCGGACATGTTGCAGTAATGATGATTGTGATGTGATCGCTTCAATAAACTTTTGTAAGGTATTTTCAGTATCTTTAGTGCCAGTTATGATTTATTTCAGGTACTTATATAGCGCTGTCAATTTATGCAGCGCTTTACATATATATTGTACATTCACATCAGTCAAAGGGTGTACAATCTAAGGTCCCTAACCTACATACATATACTAGGGCCAACTTAGACAGGATCCAATTAACCTACCAGCATGTCTTTGGAGTGTGGGAGGAAACCGGAGTACCTGGAGGAAACCCACACACACGGAGAACATGCAAACTCCAGGCATGTGGTGCTGTGGTTGAGATTTGTACCAATGACCCTGGTACTGCCAGGCGGAAGTGCTAACCATTTAGCCACTATGCTGCTCTACAGTTACCCGTTGCTTTAGCACCCTTCTACTCCAGGCTTCTATCAAGAGCATGGGATAATACAAGTGTTGGCAAACCATGACACGGTTCTCACTTGTCTTACCGCCTCCTTATTGTTTATGACAGGTACATACAGTATATAGCATCATCAATTTACACATCTCTTTACATATATATTGTACATTCACATCAGTCTCTACACCTTCAAGGAGCATACAATCTAAGGTCCCTATCTAACATGATAGGGACAATTTATTTACTAGCAAAGCTTTGGAATGTGGGAGGAAACCCACACGGGCACATGGATAACATGTAAACTCTAGGCAGGTATTGCTGTGTTAGGTATTTGAACCAACAACCCTAGTACTGCTAGGCAGAAGTGCTAACCACTTAGCTACTCCCCAGCCTTGTACCAATTGAAGCATCACCAGTATGCGTTTATCACCTGGAAAGAGTTATGCTCAAAATTGTACTGTATTGAGCAAGGCATTTGTGTGTTTGTTAGGTGTTAGTTGATTTCATTCAACTGTTCATATGCATACATGTAGCAGCATGGAGTGAGCCTTATCTTGTGTAATCACATGTATGCGTTGCTGTTATGTGTCAGGAAGTGTTCAGCTATTATGACAATCACTTGATCAGGAATTGGTGTGGTATCACCATGCATGGCACGAGTAGGAGATTTTTTTTACAGTCAGGTCCATAAATATTGGGACATCGACACAATTCTAACATTTTTGGCTCTATACACCACCACAATGGATTTGAAATGAAACAAACAAGATGTGCTTTAACTGCAGACTGTCAGCTTTAATTTGAGGGTATTCACATCCAAATCAGGTGAACGGTGTAGGAATTACAACAGTTTGCATATGTGCCTCCCACTTGTTAAGGGACCAAAAGTAATGGGACAGAATAATAATCATAAATCAAACTTTCACTTTTTAATACTTGGTTGCAAATCCTTTGCAGTCAATTACAGCCTGAAGTCCGGAGCGCCTAGACATCACCAGACGCTGGGTTTCATCCCTGGTGATGCTCTGCCAGGCCTCTACTTTAACTGTCTTTAGTTCCTGCTTGTTCTTGGGGAATTTTTGCCTTCAGTTTTGTCTTCAGCAAGTGAAATGCATGCTCAAATGGATTCAGGTCAGGTGATTGACTTGGCCATTGCATAACATTCCTCTTCTTTCCCTTAAAAAACTCTTTGGTTGCTTTTGCAGTATGCTTTGGGTCATTGTCCATCTGCACTGTGAAGCGGCGTCCAATGAGTTCTGAAGCATTTGGCTGAATATGAGCAGATAATATTGCCCGAAACACTTCAGAATTCATCCTGCTGCTTTTGTCAGCAGTCACATCATCAACAAATACAAGAGAACCAGTTCCATTGGCAGCCATACATGCCCGCGCCATGATACTACCACCACCATGCTTCACTGATGAGGTGGTATGCTTAGGATCATGAGCAGTTCCTTTCCTTCTCCATACTCTTCTCTTCCCATCACTCTGGTACAAGTTGATCTTGGTCTCATCTGTCCATAGGATGTTGTTCCAGAACTGTGAAGGCTTTTTTAGATGTCGTTTGGCAAACTCTAATCTGGCCTTCCTGTGTTTGAGGCTCACCAATGGTTTCCATCTTGTGGTGAACCCTCTGTATTCACTCTGGTGAAGTCTTCTCTTGATTGTTGACTTTGACACACATACACCTACCTCCTGAAGAGTGTTCTTGATCTGGCCAACTGTTGTGAAGGGTGTTTTCTTCACCAGGGAAAGAATTCTTCGGTCATCCACCACAGTTGTTTTCCGTGGTCTTCCGGGTCTTTTGGTGTTGCTGAGCTCACCAGTGCGTTCCTTCTTTTTAAGAAAACAGTTTTTCAAACAGTTGTTTTGGCCACGCCTAATGTTTTTGCTATCTCTCTGATGGGTTTGTTTTGTTTTTTCAGCCTAATGATGGCTTGCTTCACTGATAGTGACAGCTCTTTGGATCTCATCTTGAGAGCTGACAGCAACAGATTCCAAATGCAAATAGCACACTTGAAATGAACTCTATAGACCTTTTATCTGCTCATTGTAATTGGGATAATGAGGGAATACCACACACCTGGCCATGGAACAGCTGAAAAGCCAATTGCCCCATTACTTTTGGTCCCTTAACAAGTGGGAGGCACATATGCAAACTGTTGTAATTCCTACACCGTTCACCTGATTTGGATGTAAATACCCTCAAATTAAAGCTGACAGTCTGCAGTTAAAGCAAATCTTGTTTGTTTCATTTCAAATCCATTGTGGTAGTGTATAGAGCCAAAAATGTTAGAATTGTGTCGATGTCCCAATATTTATGGACCTGACTGTATGTTCAGTAGTGTATTTAGGTTTTATGCTGCCCTAGGCAACACAAAAATCGTCTGCCCCCATGGACACCGACCAACACCCCCCCCCCCCCTCCCGTGCAGAGAGCCTGACATTGACCAACAGCACCCCTGCTCCCCCACCCGGGACAGCCTTCCAGTACCCTCCCCTCCGGCGTTAAAGAGACACTTGCCTTCACAGCTCCACACATCCCTGAGAATGAGAGCCAGGCTCTACATACACTATCAAGCATCCCACAGCCTCTTTCGGATCCCACCTGGTTCCCATGGTGCACTTGTCCCTTCTTTCATCCCTTCTTCTGGGGGGAGGGACTGCCCCCCTGAAAAATGCAGCCCTAGGCAAGTGCCTTGTTTGCCTTGTGATAAATACACCCCCTGGTTATGTTGGGTCAGAGTAATGGCAAGGCATATACAACTAAAGTTTAAAAATATTTTTTTCATGAATTGGTGACAGTTTTCCTTTTATAATGGAAAAGCAGTAGACATTCAGGGTTGAACCTGATTTGTTTCCTGGAAGGTTTACATCCCACTGCTGGAAGACAGCTCTGTATATAGCTGAGCCTGCATACAGCTAACTGCAGTGAACTTGCATGGCGGTTTTCTTCAACCCTTCTCATCAGAAAACACTCCTGTTGAGGTGGTAACTTCTGTGGACGGCCTGGACGTCTCTGTGAGATGGTTGCAGTTCCATCTTTGTTAAATAACCCCTCCCAGTTATGCCATGACTCCTAGCAACAGTAAACCTTTTAACTGAATGCTGGGCGACATAAAAGATACTCCGGATTGAGTTGTGTTTCCAACTGGCATCCTTTCTTGGGGCTCTTGATGAGCCTCATCACCCACAGAGCGTACTGCAGGAAGAGGTGAAAGGTACTGCATACCAATGATGGCCCAGAGGGGAGTCCATACCAGGGTAGAGGTGTCCATATGATGATCCAGCTGACCCACTGAGATATAATTATTCTCAAATGCGTGATGTTATTACGCATCTGGTGAGTGCGTAATTCTGCTATTTATTTATCACCGGAAGACTCACTAAGGATCACTTATATTTGAAGCTTCATGTTTATTCAGTGATTGATATATAGACTTTATCACCTTATAGGCACTATTTGCACTTTTATGGATGTGCATTTACACTGTAGTCACTTTATTGCATTTGCCCTGCTGATTGAATTGTCATTTGAATTAAGTACTACCTGCACTTTATACGATATTAAGATAATTTCCCATCATTGTATTGCACTTTATTATATTGAGATTTACATCATTTTCGCGCTGCACCTTATTATATTATTTTGTCTCAGGAGGTTATTGGTGCCTTTCGGTGTTACAACAGTTCACCCATAGCGCTTACTTTTATGCCTTTTATTCTGTTTTGTATCTTTACTAAGAGGAAATGTGTGTCAGTCATACATACATAATGTGTATATGGTGAGTGTACATTCGGTTCTGAAACTAAGGAAAAGTATAATCCCCCACTCCCCCTAGACCTTTGCATCACATTTTACGTAGTTATTGTCTGCCCCAAGGCAATCAAAGCATTGTGCATAGAGTTACAAGTAATCAGAGCCACATGCCGCCCATTATTTACAATTAACTAGTGTTTTGGTATGATCTAGTGGTAGTATTTGCACGTTTATACATGAACACTATGGCCACCATAGGCTCCAAGGAATTGTCCTCTGATCTGACCAAATAATGGTCATTTTAGGAAACAGTCCTTGGCTGATTGCTATCTGTGGAAAACTCAAAATGCCCATCCAGATTTTTTTTTTTATAAATCCCTATTGTTTTTCTTATAATGTAGGGCTACACGTAGACATTGGACTGCAGTCACTGATTTTCTCATTTTTGGGAGTGAAGATCTCATAACAATGAAAGCTAGATCTGAGTGTTGTGCAACCAGTCTCAACAGACTCAGACCAGATCTCTGTTCAACTCCCCTTCCCAGGTCAGCTTTATCATAGAAACAAATGTGACTTTCTTCATGATACATTAAGGCTCCATGCACACTAATACTTTTTATGAGCGAAAAAAAAATGCTGGATGAAAAACTCCAATAATAAAGTTTTTGTGCCAGTTTGTAGTAGCATTTAGAAGCTTTTAAGAGCATTAGCATTTTTACAGTACAGGAAGAAAACATAATTTGAGGAGCATTTAGATGTGTTCAGCTTTTTTTCTGCCAGGAAATGCTTCCAAAAAATCTTTTTTTTTCTGCTCCTAAACGCTGAAGCTTGAAAAATGCTTCTAGCATAAAGTAGTATGCATGGACACATAGGATAACACTATTAGGCTCCATGCACACTAGTGTTTTTGTGTTTCAGCTCAAAAAAGTTTGAAAAAACCACTGCACAAAACCGCTGGTGATAGCATTTTAGGAGCGTTAGGGTTTTGCAGTAGATGTAGGGAATAAAAGCTAGAAAAAAACTGTTAGGAACGTTTTAGTAGCGTTTAGGAGCGTTCAGAGTTTTTTTTTACCTGCTGGAAAAACGTTCCAAAAAGAAGCTCTACAATTTTTTTTCTGCTCCTAGATGCTGAAGCTTAAAAAAACACTATTAGCCTAACGTAGTGTGCATGGACACATAGGATAACACTATTTAGCTTCTAGGAGTAGAACAAAATGCTAATAACAGCTTCTAGGAGTGTAAAAAAGTACTAGTGTGCATAGAGCCTTAGCTTCAAGGAGCAGAAAAACTGCTAGTGTGCATGGAGCCTAAAGCAGTATTATACCCAAAAGCAAACATTTATTATATTGCAGCTTACCAATTCTTAGATGTGATGTCTGTATTAGTTTTGCTTTCTTCTATTTTCATCTGGTGATCTGGCCAGTAAGTCTGTTGCTTTTTAACAAAACAAGCTCTCTTGCAGTTACAGGGATGCAACAAACCATTTTCCACTTACTGGGTGCTTACAATAGTCAGCTTTTATTTATTTATGTAAAACCTTTATCCCAAAAGGAAAAAAAATGTTTACTGTAACCGATTATAAAGTGTTAGCTGAAGTGTGGCTTCAATTTGTTAGTGTATTTAAATCTGCTAGTACTTCTAACACTTTCCTCCCCTCAGACTGACAGTGCTGCTGTCCAAAGGTGCCCCTTGTGCTCCTTCATCCATACTGGGGCACTCTCAGGAGGTGTGTTACTGGCCAGGTTACCAGGCGAAATCAGGAAAAAAAAAAAATTTAAAAAAAATCGCTCCACATCTAATGATGTGGTAAGCTGCAAAGTATTACATTTTTACCTTTGGGTTAATACTACTTTAATACTGCTTCATCGTAGATTCACACCTAAGCGTTTTCTGCAGCATTTTGCTGAGACGCAGTACAGTCCATATAACATGATTTCCTATGGGACAGGTTCACATCTCCGCGTTTTCACCCGGTGCGTTTTTTGGAAAGGGTCAGGGACTTTTGTGAATGCAAAAACGTGTGTTTTCTATAGACTTCAATAGAAACGCTGCAGAAAAGCATGTATTGCGTTTTTGGCGCAATTATGCTGCATTTTGTGTTTTAAATCTGCCTAGCAACAAGGAAAAAATTATTTTAAAAAAAGCGCAGCAAAATTGCAACGCAAAATGCGATGCGGAGATGGCTCAGATGCACCCTGCATAGGTGTGAACCTAGCCTCAATGTGCACATTTGAGAGAAATCATTTGTCATGTTTATATTACAATTTTTCTACAGAAAAATCGTGCTGCAGTTGCAAATTCAGATCTCCATCTCATGTCTATGGCTAGCCTATTATCTGCTATTATATAGTCCCTAGAATTACCTAGCCGAGTGGGTAGAAACTACGGAGACCACATACATAAACATCCCTGCTGTTTAGGACATGTGCTAACGTGTGTGTTATGGGTCCATTGCGTCTTATATAATATAAAGCAGTGTTCTTCCAGTATATTTTATTGTAACAGCAAAGTGCACTAGCATATATGTGTGAATATATGGGATTTGCCTTGTCCTGCCTATTTCCTAAATGGTCTAACATGACACACAAGCACTTTCCTTCCTGTGTAGGTTACACACCCTTTTTCCCCGGAGCTGTGTAACACATGCTGGGTGTATCTGTGTGATATCACCGATTACATTTGCAGTTGTATGTAGTCTGTTGTTCATCTCTAAGCTCGTTTGCAGAAGTTGTTCCAGCAGTTTTCAGATTAACATTTTAAAATTGTTTTGTCCATATTCACAAGTGTCTGTATTGATCTAGTACAAATATAGTTTATCAGACCTCAAATTGTCTTAGTCATTGTAAGTAAATGTTTGTAAATTTGTGTTAAGAAAAACTCCACTTATACGCATGGCTGTAATGCCTACTTATGAATTCCAAAGGGTTATGGTTTTTGTTCAGCCAGCTATCTATCTATCTATCTATCTATCTATCTATCTATCTATCTATCTATCTATCTATCTACACACACACACACACACACATACATATATACATACATAAATACAAACACTGCGGGTAAAATAAGTATTGAACATGTCACCATTTTTCTCAGTAAATATATTCCTAAAAGTGCTATTGACATGAGATTTCCACCACATGTTGGTAACAACCCATGAAACGAGGGTGGACATTTCAGCAAGACAATGATCCCAAACACAAAGCCAAGGAAACTCTCAATTGGTTTCAAAGAGAGAGAGAAAATAAAGCTTCTAGAATGGCTCAGCCAATCATCTGACTTGAATCCAATAGAAAATCTATAGACAGAACTAAAGATCAGAGTTCATAGAAGAGGCCCACAGAACCTTCATTATTTGAAGACTGTTTGTGTGGAAGATTGGTCCAAAATCAAATTTCAGTTAGCGTGTACAATACTTTTTCCTTGTGCCATTCCATTTTATTACACACAACTTAATTTCTGAACTTATTTGTTTTGGCTTTTTTGTATGTATGGATTGCATGGGTTGTTACCGACATGTGGTGGAAATCTCATGTCAATAGCACTTTTAGGAATATATTTACTGAGAAAAATGGTGACATGTTCAATACTTATTTTACCCGCAGTGTTTGTATGTTTGTGTGTGTGTGTGTGTGTGTGTGTGTGTGTGTGTGTAGTATAGATAGATAGATAGATACAGTTGTGTTCAAAATAATAGCAGTCAGACATCACTAACCTGATCAATCACTGTTTTTGGTAGAAATGATATTTCTACATGGCAAATAATTTACTAGCAGGTGTATTAGAGTAATAGAAATCCAACAGACCCAACAGTCATGACATGCATGCTGCTGATTCTGTGTAATTGAATCACTAATTGAAAGGGGCATGTTCAAAATAATAGCAGTGTGGAGTTCTATTAGTGAGGTCATTCATTCTTTAAAAAACAGGTGGCAATTATTGCCCTTATTTAAGGAAGGAAGGCAGCAAATGT